GTCTTATAGGAGGCTCATCACACTGTGTTTTAATAGGTTGTGTATTTCTGTCCCTTCTCTGAACCCCACTGATGAACTTGAGCTCTTCTGAGGCAGAAACTGTATCTTCTTCCCCTCGGAGTTCCCAGAATATAATAGGCATGCAGTAAAAATTTGGTGAGTGAAGAAATGGGGAGAAAAGTAGGGATTTCTCAAGGCTTCCTTCATGAATGTGATGCAAAGGAGCGGAAATGTACTTAATTGCCTTGTAACTGACCAGTAGTGGAGTGGTGTTTGTGGTAACCTTGAAAAGAAGAACTAGAGAAAGTTGGCCATTCTGTTGAAGTATCCGTGTGAGTGCAAATGAGGGTGGCCCTAACCCAGTGGTTCTCAACCGGGGACCTTTGTGCACCATCTCCCCCTCCATGGACATTTGGCAATGTCTGGAGATATTTTTTGGTAGTCAAATATGGGTAGGGGAAGCCCCTGGCATCTTGTGGGAAAAGGCCAAGGCCCTACTTAACATCCTACAGTACACAGGACAGCCCCCCCCCACCATGAAGAATCATTCAGCCCCTTATGCCCAAATATCAATAGCACTGAGGTTGTTAAGCCATGCCCTAATCCAATGCATGGGAAACTGCAGAGCTGGGGCGGGGGGTGTCAGATAGGGAATGCAGCTTGTCTGAGGAGGTGGATTTGAGCTGGTTCTCAAAGGGTAAGTATGTGCCATAAAGATGGAGAAAGGAGACACTATCACAGTGAGATGAAACCGTGCGAACGAAGCAAGGAGAGCAAAACAGGGCTTGGGATGTTCCAGGAGTGGCAAGGATGTGGCTGAGGTGTGCGAGGGATGGTGGCCGAGAGAAAGGGGTGAGGCAGGTGACAGTGAGATTATGGAAATTCCTGAGTAGCTCTCCCTGGAATTGACCCCTCATCTGGAGGGAGAGGGGCAGGCATAGAAGGGTGTTTAGCAGGGAAGGGACAGATGGGCTGATGGGGAGCCTGGAGGCTGGGGAGGTAGCTGTTTTAATGGACCTAGGGAAGAAAGGTCAAGTGAGACCTGATCTGGGCATGCAAACAAGGGGGTAGATCAGGAACTTGGTGACTCATGGGAATGGGCGATAAGAGAGGGGGAAGTGAAACAAAACCCTGGATGTGAAGACTTGAAATAGACCTTATACTTCTCCTTTGCTCACTTGCACATTAATGGCCTTTCCTTGGGACCACAGGGTTGGTCGGCCACTTGATTAGGTGCAGTGGAGAAACTGACAACATGTGTCTACAGGTTGAAGCCTAGAGGTCGTTCGACCAGTTGAATGATTACCTGGGCAGAGTTTGGTCCTTGACTGAGTGCGCTCTGACCAGGATCCAAGAGCTGCTCACCACACACTGGGCACAGAGCCTCCCTGTGTGCATTAGGTCAGTGCATTCTCAAAACCACCAGATGAGCTAGGGAATGTTGTTATCCTCATTTGAGGGAGAAGCAAGTGGAAGCAGCAACAGGTTAAGTGGTGAAGTGGGTGTTTGAATCCTGGCAGAATGACTTTGAAGAACTTAAATTATTATTTTTTTAATTAAGGGGAAATTCATGTAACATAAAATCGATGATTTTAAAGTGAACGATTTAGTGGCATTTAGTACATCCACAATGTTGTGTAACTACCACCTCTATCTGATTCTAGAACATTTTCGTCACCCCAAAAAGAAACCCTACACCCATAAAACAGTCACCTTTTCCACAGTCCCTGGCAGCCCGTAATCTGCTTTCTGTCTCTATGAATTTACCTATTTTATATATTTCATATAAATGGAATCATACAATAAGTGACCTTTGTGTCTGGAGTACTTCACTTAGCATATTTTTGAGGTTCGTGTATGTTGTATGTATCGGCTTCAGCCTTTTTTATGACTGAATAATATTCCGTTATATGGATAGACCACATTTTGTTTACCCATTCATCCTTTGATGGACATTTGGGTTGTTTCTGCCTTTTAGGTATTATGAAGGGGCTTCACAAAGACCACTTAGATGGTCTCTAGACCCAGTGATTAAAGCTATGGTGGAGAGATGAACAGGATCTGTGGGGTTCCAGAGGAGGGAATTCCAGAGTCTTCCCCAGGATAGCAGGAAGGGGGGCAAGAAGGCTTCATGCTGGAAGTTGAGCCTTGAGTACTACTGGACCTGGTAGTTGCTCCTTGGGGCACTTTATACCGTGTCCAAGGGGACCTCATGGCCTCCAGTGGGGGAGGAAAAGATGCAGACTCACCAGATTCAGGAAGTGGTTCAGATAGTGTCCTCTTAGAGGAACAGCCAGAAAGGAGTGTAAACCAGTATCTATGAGATTGGAGAAGAGGAAAAGCCCTGTTTCACAAGAGCCTGGTGAGTACCAGACCAGAAATTGTGCTCTGGTGGGAAGCTGCCTTTAATGGAGGCATGGGAGCATGAAGCTTTCCTTGCCAAGATGGTGGGTATCAGGTGGCATGCCCTGTGGAACATTCCCATATCCTGGATGGAGAACCAAGGGGAGAACCAGACTTGAGGGGAGACATGGAGCCAGTTTGGGATGCATTGAAAGTGAGGAGCCTGTGGTCCTTCAGGGAGACATGTCTAAGAAGACATAGGGATTTAGAGTCCAGGAGAGAGCCCTGGGCTGGAAATACAAGCTGGAGGCCCCCGCAGAGCCCAGGTATGTCGTCCCCTTGCACTCAAAATGTAAGGCATTTCAAAGGTTTCCTGAGCCCACTTCATGTGCTGTGTCCAAGGCTGGGATCTGAAAACCCAGGGCCGGACATAGTCCCTGCCCTGGCGGAGCTTATAGTCTGGTGGAAATCAGAGTTAGATAATTACAAGATAATCTTTTAAAAATCTTTTTTTAAAAACGATTTTATTTATTTATTTAAGAGAGAGTGCACATGCGAATTGGGGTGGGCAGAGGGAGAGAGAAAGGAAGAGAAGCAGACTCCCCTGAGCCTGGCGCTGGGCTTGGTCCCGACCCTGAGTTCATGACCTGAGTGGAAACCAAGAGTCCTACACTTAACTGAATGAGCCACCCAGGTGCCCCATCTTTTAAAAAAATCTTAATATAAATTTTGTTAAAGTACTTTTCATACAGAAAAGGGCACAAATCACAAATGTTTTACTAAAAAATCTTTCAGAGAGTGACCACATCTGAGCAGTTAGGACACAGATCAAGATACAGATCTTTACCAAAAGAGCCCAGGACATCCTCACTGGCCCCTTCCTGTCACTACCCCCCAATGGTAATCAGTATCTAGACTTCTAATACCAAAGATTAGTTTTGTCTGTTTCTAAACCTTACATCAAAGATGTCACATAGTGAGGACTCTTGTGTCTGGATTCTTTCACATTATGTTTGTAAGATTCTTACATGTTGTACAAAGTTGCTATTTCCTTCTTCCATTGCATGAATGCTCTGCAGTCTGTCTACCTGTCTTACTGTTATGGGCATTTGGGCAGGTTCCATTTTTTCATGGCAACCATGGCTGCCATGAACATTCTCGTACACATTTGGTGAACATTTGTATGCACTTCTGTTGGATACACACCTTGGAGTGAAATTGCTGGCTCCGTGTTCAGTGTTAGTAGAGAGTGACAAACATTTTTCCAAGGGGCTTGTACCAATTCTCACTCCTCCCACCCCCAGCAATGTATGAGAGTTCCAGATGCTCCACATCTTCACCAACACTTGATATTCTTGCACAGGGGTCATGCTAATTTTCTCTGTATCTTTCCAATTTTAGGATATGTGCTGCTGAAGCATACTTGATATTCTTTAAGAAAAAAATTTTGTTGTGGCAAAGTATAACATAAAATTTACTGTTTTAAGTCTACAATTAGTGGAATTAAGTGCATTCACATTGGGCAACCATCGCCATCATCCATTCCCTAGATGGATGAAATTCTGTACCCATTAAATATTAACTGTCCATCCACTCCTCCAACCTCCAACCCCTTGGTAACCACTATACAGTACTCTTTTTTGTGGTAAAAAAAACAACATAAAATTTACCATCTTAAATATTTTTAAGTGTGTGGTACGGTAGTGTTAACTACATGCACATCATTAAGCTCTAGGAAATCTTCATCTTGCAGAACTGAAACTCTATCTACTGAAAAGCACCTTCCTACTTCCCCTTCCCTGGGGCCCCCTCTACCTTCTGTTTTAAAAATTTGATTACCTTAGATACTTGGTATAACTGGAATCATGCAGTATTTGTCTTTTGGTGATGGCTTATTTCATTTAGTGTAATGTCTTCAACACTTGATATTCTTGATAATTGTTTTTATTATTTTAGCCAATGTGGTGGCCTTTCAGTGGCCCAGCATTGGAGTCTTTACTCACATTTCCTTGACAACTACTGACGTTACCCACCTTTCTATATGCCTGTGGGCCCTTTGAATATCTCGCTTTTTTATTGGGTTGTCTGCCTTTTTTTTTTTTTTTTTTACTGATTTTCGGAAGATCCTTATGTATTCTTTTTATACTGTGGATGAATCCTTTGTTATATACATGTATTGAGAAATATCTACTCCTGCCAGAAAGTTACATTTAGAAATAAATTTACTTTTAAAAATAATACATGACACCTCCCCCCCCAAAAAGAGAAAAGAAAACAAAAGACAAAATAATACATGTTCAAACGTTGATATCTCCCTCCATCCTGAGGTAAACTTAACACATAAGGATATACTTAACAATGCCAATGATGCGTTTTTTCCCACTGAACAATGTGCCTGATGAATTTTATCCCCCATTTTACAGAGGAAGGAACACAGGAAGGCATGGGGGAGGTGAAGTGCCTTGCCTGATATTTGAACACAGGAATCTGTGACTTTCAGCCATTCCAAGGAGTGTCACATTCCCATTTATAAACTTTGGCTCAGAGGGCTGTCAACTTCTAAGGAATCAAAGTCTGACATACATTTCTTCAGAGATGTCCTGTCCAGGCTCCAGTCAGAGCTGGCCCTCCTGGAGGCAGGGGGCGGGTTGGGGTCGTCATTTCTGGATCTTGATCTCTGCATACTCAGTGGTCTCCTGGTCCTGAAAGTTCTGTGGCTTCAGCCTGTGAAACCTGAGGTTGGCGTAGTGGAGCTCCTGCTCCTTCTCAGAGGGGGAGGTGGCCCCAGCTGGGGGCAAGGGGTCTGAGAAGCTGTCTGACCAGGGTTTGCTCAGGTGATCCTGAGTGGAATGAAGGAAAGGCGCTGGAGCTGGCCCTTGAGTCTGGAGAAGAGAAGTGGGGGCTGGGTGGCACTTACCCATTTATCCACTTCATGCCCATTTTCTGAGCATCCATCCATCCATTCATTCATTCACTCATTCATTCATTTGTATCTTTAACACATTTTCATCATAATGGCATTGAATCCTTACAACTCTCCTCACTCCCCTGTGGATGATATAACTGTTATCCCCATTTTACACACATGAAAACAGAGTAAGCAAGGTCAAGAAACTCTTCAGCACACATGACCTCTGACCTCAGACAGCCTATCAGGGCAAGGAGACAGTATCAAATTGTCACACATACACACACATACATGCAAATGATCTAATTGCTATTTGTGATCTGACACACAGAAGCAGCATCCACCCAGGGGCTCCCAGAGTACTGGAGACAGGCCTGTGATTATTACAGGGAGGCATGATGACAGACTGCCTGCATAGGGCAGGGGAATATTTAAACTGGAGTATGAAAAGTGATTCAGGGTCTGGCCAATGCAAATGGGGAGGGTCAGAGGAAATCATGCATGCAAAGGCACAAAGTCACACAGAACGAGCCCTGCCTGGGGTTAAGGAGCTAATTTTGTGGGCAGGGGCAGGAAGTGGGCTGGAGGACTTGGCAAGGGACAGGTCACAGAACACCGGACCAGGGAAAGTGGACTACGTGTCTAATATGGTAGCTCCTAGCCACAAGTGGCTACTGAGTACGTGAAACATGGCAATTCTGAGCAGAGGTGTGCCATGAGCATGAAATAAACCCTGGATTTCAAAGACTTAGTGCGAAAAGAAGAAGAAAACAAAGGAAGAATGCAGACTATCTCATTAATAATCTGTACATTGATTCTTGATGATATGATGGTGAAATAATATTTTGAATATATTGGGTTAAATAATATAATACATTAAAATTGATCTCAGGGAAATGTGTGGGACTTGGTCCATCACTGGCTCTGGTGGATGGAGGAGAGGGGAGAGGAAAATGTGACTCTGGGGTCTCTGAGTTGAGTGCAGCCAGAAATCCCAGGGAGGACCAAATTTGGGGGGTCGGTGAGGGACTCATCTTTTGGCATGCTGAGTGAGCCGCCGCATGGTCCATCCCAGGAGAGGTGTCCAGGTGGGACGCCAGATAGAAAGGCCACTCACCTGGGAGACTGTATTCAAGGCCGGATGGACGCCATCCCTGCGCAATGCTTTCTGGCTGGATTTCTGCCTGTAGGTCTTCACTCTGAGGGGAGAGATCAGGGCCTTTCAGTCTGGCTGCTCGCTGCTGGGAGCCTGGAAGGATGACTGACTGAGGCAGGGCATGAAGGCTGATGTTTGGCTGCAGACACCAGGAGGAGAATGCATGCTCCCTCCTCCCTGACAGTGGGAACCCCTTGTGGGGAAGAGACCACTCCCGGCCTCCATGTCAGGAGGCTAGATTCCTGATGCCTCTTGGACGAATTGTACTCTTCCCTGGCTGCATCACCTCGCCAGGTTTCTTCAGCTCTGGGCTTTGAGTTTGGGAGATTCTTTGAGTCCCCTCCCTGCCCAACCTCATGAGGGCTTCACCCAAACCAGGGCCACCACTCACGCGAAGAAGATGATAAGGCAGAGACAGAGAGCAAGCAGGGCTGTGACTCCAGCTCCCCAGATGGCCCCCTGAATCACACCTGTCCTGGACCCTGGTCTCCCTGCAGGTAAGAGACCTGGGGTAAACTCCAGTCCCACCAAGCTGGCACCTGAGCATCCAGCCTTCTGGAATCCATGACCCAGGGGTGTGCCCACTTCTACCCAGGACTGGCTCCTTTGTCCCCTACCCCTCTATGTGATCCCAGCCTTCTGTTTCCCTGGCCCCTTCCTCAACCCCTCCTCCCGCCAACCTACAGATGACTCTGACCTCTAGTGCCCCTTTGCCTGAGTCAGAGCCACTTCTCTCCTCAATGTCTTCTAGGGTCCTGGTTCATGCGCCCCCCTTCCCTGGGCATCACCCTTCATACCTCCCTGACCTGGCAGCACCAGGATAGCCATGCTCTGTTTTCCGTGGGCATTCCGGGCCTCACAGCTGAGTCTGAGGCTGGAGCCCAGCGGCCCTCTGAGGCTCAGGGAGCTGTTGGCCCAGGGCCCCGCAGAGCTGGAGGTGGTGGTCCAGGAAGTGTTGCTGTGGTTCCCCTCCAGCAGCCCCTCCCCCAGCCGCCAGCGCAGAGAAGGGGGCAGCTGGGATTGAGCGGAGCAGTGGCAGTGCAAGTTCTCACCCTCCCAGGAGCAGGAGGGAGCAAACAGCTTCGGGGGGTCTGTGGGAAGACAACAGAATATCAGAGGAAGCCCCCCTCCCCAGGGCCCAGGCATTCTTCCCAGGTGTGTTCCAACTCACTCTTCACAAGGAGGCTCAGGGACGCTTCCAGGGACCCCAACAGGTGCTGAGCTCTGCAGACGTATCTCCCATGGTCCCCCAGTTCCACCCGGGGCAAATCCAGGACCCCAGGATTTGAGGGTTGTGAGGGCTGCAGGGTCAGGCTACCCCGGGTCCAGCTCACCCTAGCGGAAGGGTTGCTGTCATCAATGCAGACCAGGTGCAGGGGCTGGCCCTCCTGGACTGGGAGAGATGAACCGTTGCCCAGAGCCTCAGGTCCTGGAAAGACAGAAAGAAAGCTAAGCCCTGGCCCTCACTAGGGGTATTCTCTCTCTGTCTCTCTGTCTCTCTCTGTCTCTCTTTTCCTCACATCATGTAAATCTGTTTCTTCTCTTCCACCGCATGATCATTCGGTCAGCCGAAGGGGACAGGGCTGAGAACAGGCACCACAGCCTTTGCAAGAGGCCCAGGTGCATTCTGTCTTTCACTAAGTTCACTAAGACCTGTCTAATTTAGTTGTGTCTGAGAGTCCGCAGTCTTGTGAGCGAGACACCCAGAATCGGGTGTCATCAAGCAGAATGATGTGTTTTGTGATGGGAGTACAGTGTGCTCGGGGAACCCTGAGGATGGGAGTTCAGTGAGATTGTCAGGTCAGGGAGGGCTTCCTGGAGGCAGAGAGGCTTTTAAAGTGGAGCATGAGAGGGGCTGGGAGCTGGCATGGAAGGACATTGCTGGAGGCAGGCACAAAAAGTGCAGCCTCAGCTGGGGTGCAAAATGGCCCTGCATGCTCAGGGAAGAACAGATAGTCTGTAAGGCTTGAGTGAATGTGTATGTTTGGGAGTGTTGACATATGATGCTACTGAGGATTCAAAAAATAATAATAGTTTGGGGAAAGACAGAGGTATGAAAGGAAATACTGATGCACGTAACAGTGGTTTACCAGTGTGTGTTTAACAACCAATTCATTGGGGAGGGGAGGGAAAAAATTTCTGATTTGCTGATTTCCTTGGCATAAATACTTCCTTCTTGGCCGATTTCAAGCACCCAACAAAATGTCACTGAACGCAGAATTGGGAAAACATGGACACAATTGGCTCTTGCCAGCCAGTGAAAGCCAACTCCAGTACGCCACTGAATGCAACACCTCCCCTCAAAACACCGTGTTTTCGTCTGACAAAGTCACCATATGCTAAGTCAAAAGGCCATTATTAGGCTGGAAATAAATCCCTTCAGCTAACACACAGCTGACTTCCTTAATGTAAAAAGAGCTTCTTCAAATCATTAAGAAAAAGTCCACAAAGAAATACAAATGATTCTTAAACATAATGAAAGATACACAATCTGTTTAAAAAAGGATAATTCAAGTTAAAAGGACAGTGAATTCACTTAAGATATTAGCAAGGATGAAAATGTTCAGCGGGTTGGGATTATAAACAGAACAACTTCCCGTACAGCGTGATTTGGCAATATGTAGAAATTACAAACGTACCCTTTGATTTGGGACTTTTCTAGAAAAATTATCTTACAGACACATGCACGCATATGGGGAATGTTTATACAAGTTATTTGTTACAGTATTATTTGCCTTAACAACAATCTGGAAACACCATGGCTTTCCACCAATGGGAACTCATTGAGTAGTTTACAGTATAATATACTTCTTTTTTTTTTAATTTTTTTATTGTTATGTTAATCACCATACATTACATCATTAGTTTTTGATGTAGTGTTCCATGATTCATTGTTTGTGCATAACACCCAGTGCTCCACGCAGAACGTGTACAGTATAATATACTTCTAATTGGAAGACATGGAGTCCTCAGTAAGAACGAAGAAGTTTTCCTATGTACGCATGGAGACAGTAATGTACCAACGTCACTTACTTAGTTGGGACAAATGCATCATGGCGGTATTAAGACTTTTAAAGACAAGGAAAGCTAGACGAGGGCTTTATGGAACCTCTCTGTCCAATGTAAACCTAAAATTACTCCACCATGAAAAGTTTATTAAAAAATAATAGCTAAGTGAGGGACACCTGAGTGACTCAGCTGGTTAAGTGATCAACTCTTGATTTAGGCTGAGGTCTTGATCTCAGTGTCCTGGGATCAAGCCAAGCCCTGTGTCATAGGGCTCCAGGCTCAGTGGGGAATCTGCCTGAAGATTCTCTCTCCTTCTCCCTCCGCCTCTCCCCCAGCCCCAATGCGTGTGTGTGTGCGCGCGCGCGCGTGTGTGCTCTCTTTAAAATAAATAAATCTTTTAAAAAAAAATAATAGCTAAGTGAAATAAGTCAGCTGGAAGAAAGACAAATACCAGGTGATTTCACGCATATGGGGAATTTAAGAAACAAAACAACAAGCAAAGGCAAAAAAGAGAGAGGGAGAGACAAATAAAGAAACAGACTCTTAACTATACAGAACAAACTGATGGTTACTGAAAGGGAAGGAGTGGGGAATGGAGAATCAGGTAAAGGCAACTGAGGTGGGCACTTGTTGTGACGAGCACCAGGTGATAGATGGGAGTGATAAATCACTATGTTGTATACTTGAAACTAATATTGCACTGTACGGTCACTAACTGGAATTTGAATTAAAACTTAAAAAAATAATAAAGATGCAGAGCGTGTATATAGCGTGGTGTGTACATATGTGTGTGTCTTTAAACGTAGATGCGTAGATTATATTTGGAGAAATAACCAAGAGGGGAGGTACATAGGTGCTGAACGTTATTTTATTCTTATTCGGTTTTGCTGGGGACTGGATAGTGTTCCCTTCAAGATCATATGTCTAAGCCCTAACCTCCAATATGGTGGTATTTGGAGGTATTTAGATGGGCCTTTGGGAGGTGATCAGGGTTAGGTGAGGTCATAAGAGTAGGGGCCTCGGGATGGTTATTAGTGCTCTTTTTTTTTATTTTTTATTTTTTTTAATAAAGATTTTATTTATTTATTTGAGAGAGAGAGAGAGAGAGAGAAACAGCATGAGAGGGAAAGGTTCAGAGGGAGAAGCAGGCTCCCCGCTGAGCCGGGAGCCCGATGTGGGACTCGATCCCAGGACTCCAGGATCATGACCTGAGCCGAAGGCAGTCGCTCAACCAACTGAGCCACCCAGGTGCCCTCTTTTTTTTTTTTTTAAGATTTTATTTATTTATTTGTCAGAGAGAGAGAACACACAAGCAGGGGAAGCAACAGGCAGAGGGAGAAGCAGGCTCCTCGTTGAGCAAGGAGCCAGATGCAGGACTCGACACTGGGATCATGACCTGAGCCAAAGGCAGACGGACACTTAACAGACTAAGCCACCCAGGCATCCCTGGATTAGTGCTCTTATAAGAAGAGATACCAAAGAATGAACTCTCTTAGTTGTGTGAGAGAAAACACTGCCAGAAACCAGCTGTTTACCAGGGAGTGAACTCTCACCGGGAACCACATTGACTGGACCCTTGATGTTGGACCTGCCTCCAGAAATATGAGGAATAAATGTCTGATGCTTAAGCCCCTCAGTCTGTGGTGTTTTGTTATGGCAGCCTGAGCAGACCAAGACACATTTTATGCTTACTGTTTTAAACAATAACATTATAATGTGGAAGGGAATTGCAGGAGTGGACAGGGTCCAGATCTGAGGGGAATGGGGCAAGGTTTGGGAGGGGAACATAGCTGGGGCACTGGGGACGGCCACCCCTATCAGGCATGGAGGTCATGCAGTACCCTTGAGAGCAGGTTCAGTGGTGGGGAGAAGCCAGTTTGTATGCTGAGGAGCCAGTTCCCTGCACCTGATCTGAGCCTTTCTCCTGCCTGAGTTTTGAAACCCCAGCTCCGCTCTGAGGGGCGGAGACAGATGCCGCTTGCACCACCACCAGCCCAAGAGGAAAGGTTGTACCCTACCTGCACCTTCTCTTCGGAACACACTGATGGTCAGGTTCTGGGGTGCATCTGATAGATAGACATAATTGTTTTCAGAGGCAGGAAGGTGGGTGTTGGCCCTTTTCTCCCAGAAGCTTCAGAAATGAGAAAGGTGTGGAGTCGGGTGTTTTCTTTCCTTCCTCCCCAGGATTCCAGACCCTGCCTGCCCCTCCCCAACACCCGCAGCCCTCAGGGACCCTGGCGTTCTGGCCCGGCACTCACAGGACACGTTGAGCTGGATGGTCCTCTCCGTGCTCACACCAGCTCCAGGGAGGGTCACTTGACAGGTGAGGTTGGTGCCGTGGTCCTGGGGCCTCGGGGTGAAGGTGAGCATGGAGGAGTGGGGAGTCTTGGAGCCCCTGGAGGTGAGGGCGACCCCGATCCAGGAGAAGGTGGGGGGTGTCCCCCTCTTACAGGCCCATGGCACACTACAGGTAATGTTCTTGGGGTGGTCAGATTCTAGGGGCTCCTGGATGTGGACGTCAGGTATTTGTGTCAGAGCTGAGGAGGAGAGAGACAGAGATCCTGGAGTGGGACCCTGAGTGTGCCCCTGGAAGCAGCCTCTACCCCAGGCCAGTCGTCTCCTCCCCAGCCAGGATGGAGATCAGGGGGGTCCCTTCCCAGCCCTGCCCCAGGAGCCCTCAGGATCCATGCACGGGACATGTGTCCTCTCCTTGACCCCGTTCCTTACCCGTCACACGCACGGAGAGCTGGTTCTGTATGTAATTATATTTCACATAAGGCCCTCTCTCCACCCTAAAGAAGTATGTCCCCGAGTCCCTTCTCTGTGCATCCCTGATGTCCAGGGAGCAGTTGTAGTGTCGGGGGTCCCCGAGGAGGTGGAATCGGCCCTGGATCTCCTCCTGCACTTCTCGATCTGGGTTGTTTGTGGCCACTAGAACATGCTGGCTGTAATCACTCCCTTCCCGGAACCAGTAGCCATAAGCTGGGTCACCGTCAGTGTATTCGCGTTTGGGGTAGGAGAAGCTGCAGGGCACATGCACACACAGGCCCTCCTGCACCTTCACGGTCTCCTGCACTTGCAGCCAGAATCTTGAATGCTGAGCCAGGGACCCTGTGGGGAATCGAGGGTCAGCAGCAGCCCCCGCCCGCCTGGCCCCCTCCCCTCGGTCCACTCACCTGCCCACAGCAGGGGCAGCAGCAGCGGCAACAGCTTTGGGGTAAGAGTCATGGTGCTTTGGTGTCACAGGACAGAGAGGAAGCCCAAGTAGGAAGCCCAGGGCTAATGTCTGAAAGGTGACTGACCACAGAAGAGGAAGTTGGCGCCGGCACGCTGTCGATGACAGCATGGACCTTGAAGATTTACCACTCCTGCTTTCCAGATAGGGTCCCCACCATCCACCGCCCCCCACCCCCAGTCCCTGTCCGTGGCCTCTGTTCCTACCAGGAAGGCAGACACTACCTGGCCAATTACAGCTTCTAGAAGCCCCAGAGGGTCAGTCCTTCCAGTTGTGGGACACAGCAGGGGTGAGCAGGGGAACCTTGAGGCATGAAAGATGGGGATGGGTTTCCCCCAACCCCAGGTGAGGGAGGTGATGTATAATTAATCAATGAGCATGACACCTGCATCATGAACATCTCCTCCTTTTAGGGCCATGGAGTGAAAGGGGAAAGGGACAGACTCTGTCTCTGTTCTTCAGAACTTCCCTAACACCCAAGGAGATGGAGAAACTCCAGGCTGCAGCAGCTCCTATTGGTACAGTGTGAGCTGGTAGAAGCATAGGCAGGGATGCCTGGGTGGCTCAGTCGTTAAGCGTCTGCCTTCGGCTCAGGTCATGATCCCAGGGTCCTGGGATCGAGTCCCACATGGGGCTCCCTGCTCGGCGGGAAGCCTGCTTCTCCCTCTCCCACTCCCCCTGCTTGTGTTCCTGCTCTCACTGTCTCTCTCTGTCAAATAAATAAATAAATAAAATCTTAAAAAAAAAAAAAGAAGAAGAAGAAGCATAGGCAGGAGCTTTAGGAAACACCATTGCTCTGTGCAACTAGAAGGCGAGTTCCCAGGTATGAATGGCTAGAGTGGACGGGGGACCAGGACTCCCAGGGGGTCTGGGGTTTGCTGGCCGGCTTCCAGCCCTCTGCTCCAGGCATCCCCTGGTGTTGCCCACAGCAGGCCACTCCTGAGAGCTGGGCATTTGCAGCAAGATGATAGCACAGCATGACGTTGAGGGAGAATGCCCAGCTGTGCTTGGCCCTCCTCCCCTCCAAGCCTCAGTTTCCCCAGTGGTCACTAGGACGGATTGCAATACTCAACTCTTGTCTGTGGGAGAATATGAGGACAGCGGTGGGCATTTTCTACAGACTTCGGTGTGGCCATCTTGCTCATCAAATATCTGGCCCTGTGTCACTCTGAGTCCTACTTTCGGTAAGGTCCTTGTGGTCAGCTCTGCCCTGGGGTTCCTTCATCTGAGGCCTCCCACGAAGGGATCATGTGTACCAGATGGCTTCAGGCTTTGGCCTGTCTCCCTCGTGCTCACTGTGCTGTCTTGAGAAGGAGTTTAACTCTGTGCATAGCTGGATGTCTATACTCACAGGGTGTTATGGGCTGAATTGTGTCACCCTAAAATTCATATGTTCATTTCCTAAAATGACATTTGAGTGTGCAAATGTCCCTCAGTACCTCCAAATATGACTGTCTTTGGACATAGGGTCTTTAAAGAGATAATTAAGGTAAAATGAGGCCACTGGGGTGGGCTCCAGTCCAACAGGACTGGTGCCTTTATAAGAAGATGGGATTAGCAGCGGTGCCTGGGTGGCTCAGTCGGGGAAGCATCTGCCTTTGGCTCTGGTCATGATCCCAGGGTCCTGGGATCAAGCCCCACATCGTGTTCCCTGCTCAGCGGGAAGCCTGCTTCCCCCCGCTCATTCTCTCTCTCTAAATAATAAATATAACTAAAAAGAAGAAGAAGAGGAAAGAAGAGGAAGAAGAAGAAGAAGAAGAAGAAGAAGTAGTAGTGGCGCCTGGGTGGCTCAGTCGTTAAGCGTCTGCCTTCGGCTCAGGTCATGATCCCAGGGTCCTGGGATCAAGCCCCACATC